AACAGAAATATGTTGATTTTGCCAAGAGGGAATATATATTTCTTACTGGCACTGGAATAGGTCAATTTTAATAAAAAAATGAGTTTTCCGAGTTTTCAACACCATATTCCAAGAGCGTCCTGTCTTTCGTCTTTTCCATTTATAAATCTGAATACAATTGTGTGTGTGGATCATTCTTGTTAAAATTACAATTTCCACTGATTGGCCAATCTTGGTTTCTTTTATTTTCAGGTTTGCTTTTTCTTAAACTTTTTATTCTGAAATAAGTATAAATTCACAGAAGGATGCAAATATAGTACACAGAGGTCCTGTGTACTCTTTCTCACATTTCCTCCATTGGTTACATCTTACATCTATATCCAAACCAGGAAACGGACACTGGTACAATGTGTACAGTTCTGTGTCCTGTAGATTCGTGTAACCACCCCTGCAGTCAACACACAGAGCTGACCCGCCACCACGAAGATCTCCCTGGAGCTATGACTCACCAGTCACACCCGTCACCACCCCTTCACCATCACTGATAAGGTGGCAGGGGCGGAGGGCTGTCTTGTGCATCTTCGGGTATTTAGTGGCATCCTTGGCCTTTACCTGCTAGGGACTAGTAGCATCTCCTCAGTTGTGACAACCAAAATGTCTGCAGACATTGTCGAATGTCCTCCAGGGAGTGAAACTGCCCATCTATCAGCCAATGACTTCAAGATCATCCATTGTTGTACATTCCAACATTCCTACTTTGGTTTTTTTGTACTATTTTTTCTTCCTATATTTAATGTGACTTCTGCTAACGGATCTTTCTACTTATGCTATTACCTTTCTTAGTCTCTTCGCTTACTATTTTTCCACCTTCTCTTGGTCTCCAAATTTATTCCATTTTTCTCTTTATGATTCTTCTGCAGTCTGACTTTTCTTTTTTTTTTGAACTACCTCCCAATGTACATCCCCACTTAAGTACTCCTGCATAACTAAAGCTCGGGGCCACCTGAGAAGGGTGACAGGTAAGGACTTAACCTTGGCAGGCAACTGGGCTACGATCAAATCTCAGCCACTAGTGAGATGAAATTGCAATGCAATTTAAGCCACCACGAGGCCGGAATCCACAGAATGGTTTGCTGTTTACCACTTACTATTCATGGTTTTCCTGCTTTACATAGACCTCTAATTAGTAACTATAAATAGATATTTCAGTGCTTAGTTTAACTGAAAGAACTTCATTTTTATTCATTGTTCCTAGTCACTGAGCTCGTATACTGAAATTTCACAAGTAGTAAGGTCTTTGTATATAAACATAGCATATTGTGCCAGGAATATAATTTGTTAGAGTTTATTTTCCTTACATCAGGATTGCCACATACATTTATGGTTAACAGATTGTAACTAGATAGTCCATTTGTGCTTTAAAACTCTAAATGTTATTTTTAATTAATAAACTTTTATTTTTTAGAGCAGTTTCAGGTTTGCAGCAAAATTGAGCAGAAAGTACGGAGTTCCCATTACCCCGTTCCCACACAGGCACAACCTTCTCCCTCCTGACATCCTGCCCCACAGTGGTACATCTGTCATG